GAAAGCCTGCTCAGAGGCTACACTTGTTGCTTGGATACACAAATAGTCTCTGGCAATAAGACTCAATCTTGAATATTTACGCTGCTTCGCCTGCCACCAAATGAGTGGATCTACCTCATCCTCCAAAGGTAAAGCTAAGTATCTTTCTAATTCGTCTCGTATGCGGTTCATCATCGGCAATGAAAAATCTGAATTATCTTCTTGTAACAGGGTGTCAGATGAGCGTAACTGGCGAAAATAATTTCGTGTATTTGATAGATTATTAGAAGAGGTCGTGGTTGGTTTTGATATTTCTGAAGAATATCCATTAAGGTTTGATATTAGATTTATTGTCTTAGTTTTTTTATCCATACTTTTAAATGCTGTTAGTTTTATTCTTGGGTCAAGTAATGATGAAACTTGAGAAGTTTCATCTAAGATTGGCCAGTAACTATCTAATTTTTGATAAATCGCATTTGCTACTTGTTTTTGAGAGAAATTGGTATTATCCTTATATCTTGACAAATGATCTTGGATACCAAGTAAAACAAATCGAACATCACCATGTGTTGGATAACTCAAGGCAGAAAGAAGTCTAGTAGCACGTTCAATTGGTTCTAAAAGAACCATTGTATTCTTTATTTTTAGTTAGTAAATTGTTAATTTGTTTTAAAAAAAAAAAAAAAAAAATTTTTACATCAATATTAGCATGATCATGTTTATCTGGACATTTTTGACGAACTATTTGATCATCTGCTGCAAGCATGGTTAGGGGAGATTCCATTTTTTTCCACTTATTCAGCATATAATAGGTAGAATTCCACCTGTGTTTAACATCTAGCTCGGGCGCTAAATAATCAACACCTTTCATTTCACATAATTTTTTTAAGTTATTAATTGTAGGATGCGAAGATTTGATATAAGACATTAACGACCGCACTTTGATAATCGATACATCAATCAAATCAATTCCTCGACAAACTGCCAAGTTTAACACATGCGCGGCACACCGATAGTGAGAAAAATCAAAATTATTAAAGTCTTCCTCAAGTTCTTCTGCCACAATTGTATCACACGATATCATCGAGGATGCATTATCCATAGTTAGAACTAAAGTTTTTTCAGATATACAATTTTCATCTAAAATATCCATTAACGCATTAGCAATATTAATTCCCGTGTGCCATTCTTTCATTGGAATGATATCAAGAAGAAAACATTTTAATTTCCAAGATATGTCAACATAATGAATTGTAAGGCTTAAAAACGATGTGCCATTTGATGCTGTCCATAAGTCTGAGGTAAATGCCACTTTCCCAGGAACTTGATTCAATGTTAACTTAACTTCATCTTTTTTTTTTGAAATAGCTCGATTACTTGGTTCTTTATTGTATTTCTGCTAGGAAATTGGTATCACAGGTCGAATTTAAAAATCATTTTTCACCATTCTTCCTCTTCAACAACACTAAATGGTTGCATGTCACAGACAATCCATCTTACAACTAAACTATCTCTTTCTTTCTGTTTTATTTCCGGATGAGAGTTTGGATTTAAGAGCTTTTGCCCGTGCTTTGGTGCTATAATATTATGTTTATCTAATAAATGACGCCTTAGCATTGAGGTTGCAGATGTTGATGAAAATACTTCACTACACGTTTTACAAACAGATAAACCTGGATTATCCTCTGTCTCTTCATCAAAATAGGGCCATATGGGTGATTTACGCTTCTTGGCTGAACGTGATTTATGAGAAGAAATATTTTGCAATTCGTTTTGCTCATTTTGGTTAGGTAAAGAAGGATCTTCTTCTTCTTTTTGCTCATCATCAGGAATATCTGGGTCTGGGATAACTTTATAATATTCATTTCTTTGGATAACATCCATCTTCAAGTGTAGTATCTAACAATATCAAAATTAAGTTTGTGAAAAAAAGAATTATTATCAAAAGTCAATTAGGCCATACAAAATTAAATAATTGTTTCTCATAACATAGAATTCTAAAAGTGACCCACCCGCCCGGCTTTTAATTTTTAAATCGCAAAAATTTTATAAGTTTTCTTTATCTAAAAAATATTTAAAACGTATAAAAATTTTTATTAAAAACTGCCCAGAAGTATTTATAGTAAATAACTTATAAAATTTTGTATCGAAGATTTACAAAAGCTGACCCGGCTGGGTTATGAGAAACAATTAATTAACTTTATATGGCCTTAGGTATATATACTTTCTAAGGTTTGAAATTAGATATAATTAACGTTAGAGAATTTTATTAATTATTTGGGCCAAGAAGATAAGTGACCTGACGATTTTATTGAGTATTTTTATACATGTTTTGGAATCTCATCATTGACAATTATACTTTTAATTTTGTAGGATTATCGTGCATATGCTCATACTATCAAGCAGACTCTTAGTTTGATCATCCCTTTGTTATGATGGTGGTTTTGCGACGATTATATAAATGATCTGTCATGTTAGCAAGCATATCCGCGTGAATATTAAGATAACAATTAAATCTTTAATGCTGCTCTAGTTCTAGCATAACGATGATCATACAATGAATTTCGACAATCATTCTACTGACAGCTCATTTAGCCGACATCACGCCAAGTGAAATTTAGTAAATATATATCCGCAACTAATAAAAGCTTAATTCTAACCATATGTAATATCGGCTAAATGAATTTTCAGTGAAATGGTTGTCGCCGAAATGAGCAGAACCGAGTACCAATATACGACGGTTACATTAACAATTCCTCACAAAAGCGTATGAAGATTTGAATAAATGAAACAAATAAATTAATAAAATGAAAAAAATTAAAACATTATTTATGTTTCGTTCAAGCAATTGCTTTTTTTTTTTTTTTTTTTTTTACAGATCATGTTTTGTACTCATGATTCGTATTACTTTCATCCAATTATTTTATATGTATTTTTTATTTGAAAGAGTTTTTATATACATCTTTATATCATAAATAATCTATCTCAAACCCCTTGATTAATTCCATTACCATATTTATAAGTAGAAAATGAAACCTGATGGTGAAATTAATAAAAGAGAGTTAATATCCAAAGCGTAACTTAAAGTGAAATAAACAGTCATCTTGCCATCAATCACCATACATTATTAGTGCCTCTTACATTAGTTTTGTT